ATTAAGGACCCATCCATGTTTCGTGGTGATGGCACAGACAAGTACTCCATTCATGAGTGGATAGACACAGTTGAAGTGTACCTACAGAAACGAGACCTCCCACCTTCTGAACAAGCAGAGGAAGTTTTAAACCATCTCTGTGGCAAAGCTAAAAGTATTGTCAAAGTGTGCCTGAAGAGTAGCTCAACCGGCAACACCTCAGAAGCACCAGAGACAATATACAACATTCTGAGGCGCTACTTCAGTGATACTCCTGGCTCGTGTCTACCTTTGGCCGATTTCGACGGCTAAGGAAACGTTGACTATTGGATCAGATTAAACACTGCTGCAGAAGTGGCAGACAGGCATCTAAAGTCCCAGGGGGGGTAAAATGGACAACATGGACTCAGAAATTGCCCAGACCCCAACCTTGCTAGTGTCTTTAAATGCCAGCCCACAAGCAAATGGTCCCTGGCTGATGTGCAAGAGGCTATTGATGAGCATCAGAGGGAGTACCAAGCTAAAAAAACAACCACAACCCTGCCTAATGCACATGCTCTTCATGTAGCTGCCGCTGTAACAGCCAGTGAACCCCTAGAAAATAACGCAGAGTACACCAATGTAAACACAGCCAAGCTATCTGACCCTGCTAAACCAAGTACAGCTGTTGTTTCAGAGTCAAATGCTTTGGAGAGAGTACTTAGCATGCTAGAAAGAGTACTAGAGCGTACAAGCCAGTCTAGTCCTTCTGCTGTCCGACCAGAAACTGCTCCATTCAGCCATGGTTCCCCTTGCAGGGTCTGCAGACATACCTCACATTCCACACGTACACATTGTATGAGGGAGAAAAGATGTCTGGAATGCTTAGAGACTGGGCATCAAAGAAAGGACTGTCCCAAGGGGTCTTCAAATCGACCAGGCAACATTTTACCGCATCAGGGAAACTAAAACACTCACATGAGGGAGGTGATAGTGTGAGTGATAGAGACAAAACCCTCAACCTTGAAGATGATGCACAGACCGTTTACACTGAGTGTGTAAATTCCTCTCCATCTAATACTGCTGTTCTATTCCAGAACATAAATAGGCTTGACAAAGCTGACAGTCTGTTCTATACAGATGCTGAGGTGGAGGATAAAGTATCGTTGAAAGCCCTGCTCGACACTGGCTCAATGACATGTACTATCAGTGAAGAAGCTGAACAAATGTTAATGTGTACAGATTCAGTCTCCATGTCTAAAGATATTTGCCCTGACATCACACTTGTTGGTTGTGGTGGAGTGAAAGTTAAGCCTAAATGCATTTATGACCTAAAGATGAAAGTGTATGGCTGCACCTTCAGAGTCCCTGCACTGGTTGTTCCTGGGCAGCAAGATGAAATGATTCTAGGAACAAATGTTATCAAGTACCTTCTTAAGCAGTTTAAACAATCTAAACAGTTTTGGCAGGTTCTGAGTAAGCCTGATTCAGAGGAAGCACCTGAAGTAATGCAATTCCTCAACATGCTGTCTGGCATTAAGAGATGGAATGGAGAAACTATCCCTGATGTTATTGGGACAGCCAAGTTAATGCAGGCTGTTACTCTTCTGCCCAGGCAGGAACATTTAGTCTGGAGCAAATTGCCGGCAGCCTCATCCTGTTCTGAAGGCAGTGCTGTCTTGATAGAACCAGCCAAAGCAATGATCCACAAGAATGACATAATGGTTTGTAGATCCATTGCCACTATGAACGGTGAGAGATTGGTTCCAGTCAGAGTCCTAAATACTTCAAGTAAGCCAGTAACTCTGAGGCGCAATACAAAGGTGGCACAGGTGTCGGCTTGCATTGCTGTGGAGGATCTGGATGAGACTTCTGAGCTGACTGAAGCCAACTCATTTGAGGTAAAAAAAAAAAAAACAGGCAATGCACAGTGAACTGACTGATGACGCACAAGACTTTGACTCATCGGACTACCAAGAGTCCTTAGTCAAACTTGGACTCGAGAGTTTGGACATTAAATCCTGTGAGGTGTCAGACTATTGGAAGGGCCAGCTGTTGCAACTCGTCCGAAAGTATGAGGCTGTCTTCTCAAAAACTAAGCTCGACTGCGGCTCAGCAAAGGATGTTGTTCACAGGATCCATCTGTCTGACTCTCGACCCTTCGGGCTCCCATACCGCCGTGTGCCACCTGGGCATTACCATAAACTCAGACAGGTGCTCTCAGAGATGGAAGAACTCGAGATAATCCGCAAGTCAAAGAGTGAATGGGCATCACCGCTGGTCCTTGTGTGGAAAAAGAATGGTGTAGATTATCGATGGTTAAATGCTCGCACAATAAAGGACGCCCATCCTTTGCCACACCAAGCAGACTGTCTCGCAGCCTT